CCCCAATTTAAATGAATCCATTTTGATATGCTGAGTCTATAATAATAAGTATATCAATACAATAGTAGATTAATAAAATGAATATATTATATATATGGTATACTTTATAATAACCTACGCTGAAATAACATCATAACTTTTTGGTATATCAATTGCTTTTGATGAATATAAAAAGTTGTGACAATAAAATGAAATATTATGTGGAAATTCATTTGATACAATACCATCCGATATCATTCTAAATGAAATCGGTATAAAATTCTTTTTTTCAATTTTTTTTATATTATTTGAATCTATTAATGTGGTTTTAATTTGATAGTTGATTTCTTTTTCTTCTACTTTTTCTACCTTTTCTCCTTTTTCTTTTTCTTCTTTTTTTTTATTGTTTAAAGTGGATGCTGATGATTTGTTTTTTTCAATTAAAAGTTCTCTATATGCTCTATTTATCAAATATTTATCAATATCTACACCGACTATATTTGTAGGATGATAATCTTTAGATATTTTAAAAACTAAATCTCCGCTATTACATCCTATATCTAAACAATTCTTTTGATAAAAGTATTCTTTCTTTAAGTATTTTAGCCTTGGATCCTTTTCTATTAGTTTTTCATTACGATAACTATAATATCCGTGATAATTTCCATATATTGCTTCTTTTTGTTGTTGCTTTATTTGTTCTTTTCTAATTTTTTTATCTGTTTGTTGCTCTATATTATTATTATTATTATTATTATTATTATTATTATTATTATTATTATTATTATTACTGGTATTTATAGTATTGTTTTTATTATTATCTACTTTAAGTTTCTTTTGAATATGTGTTGAACTATCATTATCTTTTAAATTAATTTCATTATTGCTATCCATTTGTCGAAAATTATTTAATAAAAAAATAAAAAAATGAAAAATGAAAAATGAAAAAATTATTTTTATAAAAAAATTTAATTATTTTTAAAAAATATGTAAAAAAATAATAAATCAATAAAATCAAATAAATTATATTATTTTCATTAGATAAAGATAAAGATATTAAACATTGAGTATAATCTTAAATTTTATTATTTTTTTGATTTCTATTTTTAAATTAAAGTTAAGAAGTTTATTTTGGAAGGGTATTTAAAAATAATGATAATATTTAAATCTTGTGGCACATATTATTAATAATGTGGTGGATACAGTTTATTCCTTTTATAAAATGGGGGTCACATTTATTCTTTTTTAATTTTTTTTGGTAAATTTAAAAATAGTGAGTCACTATTTTTATATTATTTTTTTCGGTGAATAATATAAAACACAAAAAGATTAAAAAAAAAATAAAAATAAAAGTTTATTTGAATATTGATTTAAATATTATATTTTTAATATTTTTCACACACCAAAAAAAAAAATATTCATCTTTTTTTTATTTTTTTTTTTTTATTTTATTATTTTAAAAAAGACTAGTGTGGAAAAAACAATAATTTTAATATATATTTTTATTTTTAAATTCGTATAACAATAAACTTATAATTATAATAATATAATAGTTTTTTTAAATAAATAAAAAAATAAAAAAACAATGTTTAGAAATTTATATTTAGTTTTATTATTTATAATTATAAATATTTTATCAAGTTTTGCAGAAATAAATTTATCTGAATATAAATCAACTCCATTAGATACAATTACCTTAAATTCTTTTATATCAAGCTCAAAACCAGCCATAGTTTATTATTACACCAAAAGTAATCAAAATATACTTATATTTTTTAAAAAAAAAATCTAATTTTTTTTATAAAAAATTTTTAAAATTTATATAGGCAAAGATTCACAAAAATTTTTAAGTGTTTTTTTAAAAGCCGCAGATGAATATTTAGAAGAAAATAATGAAGTTGCATTTGGTGTTTTAGATATTGATAAAGAGTTAAAGATAAGAAGCAGCTACTCTATTGAAACACCATCGGTAGTATATTATAAAAAAGGTAAGGAGGTATCAGAGCTCCAGGGAGTCAAAACAAAAAAGTCATTAGAGAAATTTATAGAAGAGTAATTATTCAATAACCAATTCAGATTTTAGTTTATTATAAAAAAAATTACTAACAATTGTTATTTTTTTTTTTTAAATTTAGTCCTTTAACAGTCCCAGAACCATTTGCTGGACCTGGATCATGGTCTGATATTGAATCACAAGTTGCTCATCTTTCAAATCGTAATTATACATCCTTCATATCAAACAATAAAGATGTATTGGCAATGTTTTTTACTCCACAATGTGGTCATTGTAAACGTGCTAAACCAGCCTACGGTGAAGCTTCAGTTTCAGTAGTTAAAAAGAATGTTGGTAGATTAGCCGCTGTAGATTGCTCAATAAATAAAAAAGTATGTGACATTTTAAATATTGAAAGTTATCCAACATTCATTTACTTTAAAGATGGAAAAAAAGTAGATGCCTATAAAGGAGGAAGAGCTAAAGATGATTTCATCAATTTCCTATCAGAAAAATCCAAAGAATCTCCAACTGTTAAATTAAATAAAAAATCCAAAAAAGAGTTATAATTTAAATAATATAAATTCTTTTTTTTCTTTAATATTACATTAAATACAATTTTATTTATTTTATTTTTATTTAAAAACAAATAATAAAAATTGATTAGAATCGAGAGTGATTTATTTATTTTATTTAATAATTAAATAAAAAGCCTAAATATTCTTTTATGGGGTAGTATTGCAACCTAATTTTTTAAAAAAAAAAAAAAAAAAGACAATTGGTTAGTAAAAGTAGGATAAGATATATGAGTATTTGTAAAATAGAAACTTACTGCCAGTTGGGTGACATTTGTTACCGTACCTAAAAGATGATAAAAAAGAAAAAGAGTATGTTAGTGAATGTTATTTATTTTGTTCCCTTTTTATTCAATAGTAATACATACCAGGTGCAGCATTGATCAGTTTCGGTGTGTAATAAACAAGCGAGATGACCGATATCATAACAATCTATTATTATTAGAAAAATAAATAAAAAATTAGTATATAAATACATATAAACCAATAAAAATCTATTTTTAGATTTTATTATTATTTATTATTTTTTTACATACATGAGTGTTTTTTTTCAAGAACAATATTGTCGGCTTGTTGAGCAACTTGTTCGACTGATAAAACAGCTAAAGTTGAAGCTAATAATAAAACTAATACAAATAAATATTTAATTGACATTTTGGTGGTGATGATGGAAATAAAATTAAAAGAAAATAAAATTTTTTATAGATGGTTTTTAAAAAAATTTTAAAATTTTTAAAATTTTTAAAAAAAATAAAAAAATAAAAAATTGGTTGGGAGCAGTACTGGTATTATGATAAAATCAATGGCAAAATTTTTTTTTTATTTTTTTAAAAATTTTATTAGTTTCAAAATACCCGAATATCCCACCAGGATGGGATTTTAATATCTAAAAAAAATCATAAGATGGTTGCAAATCATTTTCATACCAAAACCCAAAAATTTTCTAAATTTTCAGACATTATTACAGAATGTATTAGATATTTATAAGAGAAAAAAAGGGGATTATTTTTATTTATATTATATATTGTGTATGTTTATTATAAAAATGTTTTTGGTGATTATTTTCTATGTTTGAATTTAAATCTATTACTTTATTTTTTATCCCCAAATAAATAAAAAAATAATATGACAAAATAGATATAAATATTAAAAAAATTATTATTTTTTTTTGGATTGTCAATATATGTTTATTTCAAATAATTTATTATAAATAAACAAATACTATTTTTATTTTTTTTTCATTTTTTTTTCATTTTTTTTTAATTTTTTTTTATCATTTTTTTTATTTTTTTTATTTTTTATAAAATTTAATTTCCAGTAATTATAAATTAATTAATTATGAATAACAACAATATCAATAATAATAGGTATAGAATCGAAAATATAATTTCACATTTAATCACTACTAATAATTGTAATAATGAAATAAATTACAATAATAATAATAAAAATAGTAATTTAGAAAAAGAATTTACATTATGTTCAGAAAATAAAATTAAAGTTTTGGAATATAGAAATGGATGTAGAAGAATTATACTCAATAGAATTAATGCATTAAATTCATTAGACTTTGAAATGCTTCAAGAGTTAAAACCTCTACTAGAAAATTACAATAATGATAGATGGTGCAAGTTTGTAATAATATCAGCAAATACTACTGATCGTGCATTTTGCTCTGGTGGGGATATCAAACAGTTTGCATCATATCACGATAAACCTGGTGGAGTAAATCCATTCATTAAAAACGAATATAAAATTGATTACTTGATTCATACATTTTCTAAACCAATCATATCATTTGTAAATGGTATAGTTATGGGTGGTGGTGTAGGTTTAAGTATTCATTGTCAATTTAGAATTATAAGTGAAAAAGTTTTATGGGCAATGCCTGAAGTAAGTAATACTATAGTTATTTTATTACTTTGATTTTTATTAACACTAAAAAAAATAATAAATATAGAATCAAATTGGATACTTCCCAGATGTTGGTTCAAATTACTTTTTATCTAGATTAGGATCAATGGGATTGTATATTGGTATAACAGGTGCAAAATTAAAAGCTAAAGATTTAATATATTCAAAAATTGCAACTCATTTCATACCCAGTGTAGAGTTTGACAGAGTTATTGTAGGTATGAAATTTATTAATTCTTAAACAAAAAAATATTAATATTAAATTTCAACCAATTTAGGATGAACTAGTTAACGATTATAGTATTGAAAACGAAAGACAGATTAATTTTATTTTAAATAAATATCGAAAAACAATACCAATAGATGACGAATGCACATTATTAAAAAATAAAGATTCAATAGATGCATGTTTTTCAAAAAGTGTAGTATCATTACAAGATATATTGGAAAGATTAGAGGATGAAAAGAAGTTTAATTTAGAATGGTCCAATAAAACAATCGAAATTATAAATAACAATTGTCCCATGTCAACAGCAGTTTGTTTTAAAGCAATTCAACAAGCCACTCAAATGTCAATAGAAGATATTTTCACAATGGAGATTAGAATTGGAACTAGGCTAGGTGTAAGAAATGATATAGTCGAAGGTGTTAAGCGTTCAGTCATAGATCGAACACATAAAGCAAAGTTTTCACCAGCCACTATCAACGATATAGATCCAGACCAAGTTGATAAAATTTTTTCACCCTTAAATAACCCAAATGATGAGTTTGATATTAATTTCTAATAAAAGAAATATGATTTATTTTTTTTAATTTCTTGGAACATTTGACAATCGAAAAATTATTTTTTTTATTTTTTTTTATTTTTTTTATTTTTAATTTTTTAATTTTTTCAAATATTTTAATTTTCGCTTTATATTTATAACAACAGTTATAATAGCAATAATAATATAATATTAAAAATAATAAAAATTAAAAAACAATAGAAAGAATTTTTAGTTGTGTTTCTCTTTATTTTTTTTAGTTTTTTTTATATAAAAAATTATTATTTTTTTTTTTTTTTTAATTTATTTTTTTTAATTTATTTTTTTATATAATGTTCAAAAAAAATAATAATAGAAAGTTTAATGAAGACGATATTTTCAATAGCGAAGATGAAAAGGATAGAGTCCATAATTTAAAATACAGCGTTAACCCCAAAAAAAGATTGCTTTCCAGTCAGGATCTTTTAAATGGTTTAGATTCAAATGTCAGAGATAGTTCAAAGAGACAATTTGGCACATTTACAAATAGTCATTATAGTAGCTCAAATAGTTATATAAATTATAGCGAAAATAGACCAAAATATTCATTAGAATTTGAAGACGAGTTTAAAACAAGTAAAAACAATAATTATAATAGTAGTTTTAATAACAGTTTTAATAATAATGGTTTCAATAATAATAATAGTAATAATAATAATAATATAAATAATAAAAATAATTTTTTTGGTAGAAATGATGATATAGATTTTAATTATCAGTCAAGTAGAACTTTAACATTTCACACAGAACCAATTAAAAAAGCTACAACTACAAAACCTCAACATCCTGGATTTCAAAAAGCAACAACTAAACTTTCAACACAAAATAATAGTAATAACTATAATAATAATAATAATAATAAATCATTTGACCCATTTGACCCATTTGATGAAGATAATAACAAATCAAAATCAAAAAATATCATAGTAGAAGAAGATTTAGATTTTGAATTAGATGATTCAGATTTTAATTTTGAAACTAAAAATACTGTAAATAACACTGTAAGTAATAACTTAAACAATAATTCAAACATAACAATAATAAACAATAATTTAAATAGTAGTTCACAACCCAAAAGTCAAATTAATGGTAGAAAGAAAAATGAAGAAATGAATAAACTATTTGATGAATTAATAGAATCATATAAAACCACGGGACCAACTCAAAAAACCAGCGATATTAATGCATCATCATTTATAAACAATAATAATAATAATAACAATAAATTAAATAATAACGATATCCAAATTACAAATGAAGAAATTAATGAAAAGATCAAAAGTGAAACATTTAAAAGAATCGCAACAGGTTTAAAAAATTCAATAAGTCATTTATATTGTTCAGAGCACCAAGAATCAAAGCTATTCGATGTTCCTAATGATTTACCACAGGTATTATCAGATGTTTTAAAGGGAATGGGGTACAGTAAATTATATAGTCATCAACTAGAGTGCAGAGAAAAGGTTAATATGGGTGATGATATTATCATTACAACACCAACATCGAGTGGGAAAACATTGTGTCTATTTCTACCAATTTTCGAAACCATAATAAAGAGCAAATTAAATAATAGTATTATAAATAACAACTATAAACCAACTGCAATGTTTTTATTCCCATTAAATGCCTTAGCTAATGATCAAATGAACTCAATTAACAAATTAAATCAATCACTACCAGAACCACTCAGATTAAATATTAATAGCTTTTCAAAAGATACACCAAAAGACTACCTTTCAAAACTCTTTCAAATTGGCAATAGAGAAAGACCTGATATTATATTAACAAGTCCAGATTGGTTGCATTATCAATTATATAGAGGCGGTACAAATAGATTCCATGAAGAAGGTTGGAAGCGTTGGTTTATCAATTTAAGATTTATAGTTTTGGATGAAATTCATACATATTCTGGTGCAATGGGTTGTCATTTTATAAACTTAATTAGACGTATACAGAACTATCATCTAAATTTAAATCTAAAATTCAATTATAATCAAAGATTACAATTCTTAATGGCATCGGCAACCGTCGGTAATCCTATTCAAATTGCAAAAAAAACAATTAGTAGGGAAGGTGATGAAGATATCAATAGACTACACTTAATAAACAAGAATGGATCGGGCTCATTTGAAAAAGTTTTCATAACATTAAAACCAACTAAAAATCCTCTGACTCTTCCAATCGATATTATTAACAATTGGTTACAAAATAATATAAAAGGTATTGTTTTTTTTAATACAATCAAATCGCTAAATACTCTTTACGAATCCTTTACAACCGATGTTAGATACAGTCAAAAGTCAAAGTTAGTTAGACCCTATTACAGTTCCTTACCAAATATCCACAAAAAAGAAACATTAGAGAAATTAAAAAACGGCCAAGTAAATATTATTCTATCAACAAACGCATTGGAAGCAGGTGTAAATATTTCAGAGTTAGATGCATGTTTAATTATAGGGTATCCAGGTTCGAAGATGAGTTGGAAACAAAGAATTGGTCGTGTCGGTAGATCAAAGATGGGTTTAGTAATGTATATTCCAGATAACTATAGTCCATTAGATAAGTTCTTTTCGGTCAATCCCATGTCGCTTTATGAAGGAGAGCCTGAAAATTTATCATTTAATGGTGATTTCCCAAATATTTTAAGATCTCATATATTATGTGCAAGTTCAGAAATTGGCATTGAAGCAAACTATAACCAACTAATCAAATTATTTAGTAGTAATGCAGGTCCAATCATTAAAGAACTATTAGAAACCAAATCAATCAAAGAGGAAAACTATTTAAATAAAACCAAAGTGTGGAAATCAAATGAATATCACCATCTTTCAGTTTCATTGCGTGGCGGATCAGGTGCAAATGATGTAGTTAATGTAAAATTAAATTCTAACGGTAAAATTATCGAAAAATTAACTAAAGCCCAAGCAATTACTCGTTTATTCCCTGGTTCAATTTTTATGACACATAATTTAGAAGGTTCTCCAATCACATATCACGAAGTTATGGAGTTAAATTTAATTGATACCAATAGTACGAGTGAATCATATGCCATTGTTAAACCTATCCAGTTTCCAAAAAGTGTTCGTATTGTTACAAATGCAAATAAAACAACATCAGTAGAAATGAAGCAAATTTTAAAACAAACAACTTTTAGTTTGCCAAAATATAATAATGTTCAACTCTTAGTATCTTTTGGTGTTGGTATCTATAGAACCTCAGTTGGCTCATTTGAAAAGAAGACCTATAACAATATCAGCAACATGAACGATGATAAATATTCAAAAGCCGAAATCGAACAAATTACTTTAAAAAATAGTTTAGAATTTAATTTTGAAGCACCATGTATAGAATTTTCATATACAAACCTAACAAGGTAAAATAATAATAATGATAATTAAACTATTAAAAATATTTATTAACATTATTTATTTAATTAAAATATAGGGATATATTAAAACCAACATTTAATAAAGCAATAGAAGATTTAAAAAATAAACTTCAAAGTTCATTAATTATTGACAGAAAAGAATATGAATCCAAAATTTTAGATTTAATGGAAATGGGTGACTCTAGAGTATCATTACATACAATTATTCACCAAATTCTTTCAGCTATCCCATTAGTGCTATCACCTAAAAACGATATAGAAGAGTCATTAAATCTTCCAAGTACAAATCTTAATAGTTCACATTTAAATATCAATGATCTTTCCTCCATGATGAGCCAGAATTCAATGTTCCTAGTCGATTCAGTTGAAGGTGGTACTGGTAGTTGTGAAGAAGTTTTCGATAATATGGCATCAATTATAAAGAAATCATTTGGAATCCCATCATGTCAAAACTGTTATGAAAATGCTGAAAAAGGTATCCACTTGGCTGAATTGGGTTGTATCTGTTGTATCCACCAAAATCACTGTAAAAATAAAGGTTTATTAAAATGTTTAGGTTTAAATAATCTAAATTCCTAAATACTAAATGTTTTTTCCTCCTAGAAAATAAATAACAAGTGTTTTTTTTTTTTTTATCTTTCTTTTATATTTTTTATTTTATTTTATTTTATTATTTTTGTGTAACTTTAATTTTATATAATGCAATAAAATCGTTTAATTCTTTGGTTTTTTCTTGAAGTTGTCTATCTAAATTCTTAATAGCTTCTTTAATCTAAATAGTTTTAAAAAAAATATATTAGTTGCTTCCCTAATAGCACCATTGAAATATTAATTAAATATAAAGTTTTCATAATTACACCATCTCTATTTTGTTTAATTTGTGGTAAAACATCACCAACTGTTCTTTCTGTTAAAACTCCACCAATCATTCTAAAACATTTTCTACCTGGCTCTAAACCTTGAACTGCATTTATAACTAAACTGTAATATAATAACAATAATGTGAAAATTAGATTGTTTGTCGCTAAAAGCTATGAAAGAATAGAGTGGGGTTATAAAACATACGTATGTTCACTAGCATCTGTTTCTAATTCTGAGAGTTTATTCATAATTAATTGTTGATTCTCTTTTAAACTTTTATATATATTAACAATTTGTTCTTCTGTAAGTGGTTGTTTATTTGATGTTGATGCCATTGTATGTTTAGTTTTATTCGATTGATAAAAATATATTTTAATAATGCAAAAAATAAAAAAAAATTTAAAAAAAAATAAAAAAAAATATTTTATGAAAAATGAAAAAAAAAAAATAAAAAAATAAAAAAAAAAAAAATATTTTTATAAATTTAAATAATAATTAATTATTTATAGTTTTATTTCTAAAAAAATATTGAAAATAATTGAAAGAAATATATGAATAATATCTTGTAACTACTGGGTTTTTTTTTTTCTCTTTTTTTTTTTTAATACCCAAATGATAAATTTTTAACTGAGGGTGGAATTGCACCTGCTAAGATTTGATGTTTGATATTACGTCCAAATGTTAGAGTTTCGACCGATGGAGGAATGGATCCAGGTCTTATCATTTTGTTATAATGATAACCAAATGTCAATTTTTTAACAGAATTTGGAATAGTTCCTTCAACTAGTTCTTGGTTAAAATACTCCCCAAATATTAATGTTTCGACTGAAGATGGAATGACACCTACTTTAATTGGCTCATTGAAATAAATACCTAAGACAAGGAATTTAACAGATGATGGTATGTGCCCCTCTTCAAGAATTTGTTTGAAATCTTGACCAAAATATAAAATTTCTACAGAGGATGGAATGTCACCAACTTTAAGTTTTTGATTGAAACAATCACCAAAGAACAATATTTTAACCGAGAATGGAATAGATCCTTCATCAAGCACCTGATTAAAGTAATGCCCAAATGAAATTTTTTTTACTGAGGATGGAATATCTCCTTTATTAATTTTTTTATTATAATTATAACCAAACACTAAGTCTTCCACTGATGGAGGTATGTCGCCTTTTTTGAGCTTCTGATTAAACTTAGTACCAAACTTCAATTCCTTTGTTGATGATGGAATGAAGCCCTCTTTTAGTTGTTCTTTGAAATATTCACCAAACGTTAATGAAACTAGAGATGATGGAAGAACCCCTACTTTTAATGGTTGGTTGAACTTATCACTTAAAATTAGAGTTTTAACTGATGAAGGAATATCTCCTACCTTTAGCTTTTGATTGAACCTATTCCCAAATACTAACGTCTCTAATGATGATGGTAGTACATTTTCATCAAAAGGCTGGTTATAGTGTGTCCCAAATAAAAGTGTTTTTACTGAACTTGGAATAACCCCTTTTTTTAATACCTGATTGAAGCTTTCACCAAAATCCAATTTCTCTACGGTCGATGGGATATCACCAGGATTTAACACATGATCAAATTTTTTAAAGGTTAGCCTTTTAACAAATGGTGGAATATCACCTTCTTTAATCTTTCTTTTGAACTCCGGGCCAAAATGAAGTGTTTCTACTGTATATGGTAAATCGTATTTGAATATTTCTTCATTAAAATCCAATGTAATATTTACTTTAAAAAATTTATTAAATAGACGTGAATATTCAGCTCTTGATGAAAAACGATAATTTTTATAATTGAATTGTTTAACATAACCTATAATTAAATTTCTGAGATAAATATTTCTCCAAACTACAAAAAATAATATATCCATATCTATTATTAATTATTTTTTATTGCTCTTAAAATTGGTATTACTTCTATTATTAATTAATTTTTTTTTTAAATTAAAAAATAAAAAAATAAAAAAATATTTTAAAAATTTTGAAAAAAGGGGAAAAATGTTAATATAATTATTAAATTACTATTTTATTATACAATATAATTAAATAAATACTTAATAAATGTTTTGTGTGTAATTAAAATAATAAAGAAAAAAAAAAAAATATTATTTTTAAACCCCTTTTTTTTTAATTAAAAAAAAAAAAATAAAAAAAAAATTTTTATTTTTTTTTTTTTTTTGTGTTTTTTTGATGAAAAAACTTTTTGGGTGTCCTCTTTTAGAATTTTTTGAAAATTTTTATAATAAAGTGTTTATTCATTAAATTAATTAATTTGTTTTTGATTTAGTTGGAATTATATTTTAATTTAAAAATAAAATTCGAGTGATTAAATATAAAATATAGGGACATTGAAACTGCAGTAATTTTTAATAAATTTGAAATTGTTGAAGATTGTTTTTGTTCTGGAATATCATCGAGATAACGGGTGGTATCAACCTTCCAAAGCTTATTTAATTTTGGATCGATTAATTGAGCAGCTAAGAGACCAGATGTTATACCATCTTCGTGGAAACCATAACCAATATAGGCACCACAGTAAAAAGTATTACGAATACCTTGAATTTGTGGAATACGGGTTCTAGCTTTATCACTTTCTGGGTTGATTAATGGATGATCATATTCGATGACACGGTGTAAAAGTTCGGCTTTTGGTTCGAAAACTGGGTTAAGTGTAAGGTAAAGTGGATACTTTTTAGCATCGACCCAAGGTTGAATACGATTTAACCAATAAGTGCAACATAATTTATTATCGGTTAATGAGTAATCATCGTAAATGTAGTTCCAACTTGACCATGTGTTTCTACGTTTTGGCATTAATGATGGATCACTATGGAGATAAGCTTTGTGATGGGTGAAATTAAAGCTTCTTAATACCTTTCTTTCTGGGTGGGTCATATCTGGGAGCATTGGGAAAATATCTGGAGCATGACAAGCAAAAACTATTTTGTCATATTTTGTTGTTACATTGTTTTTATCGGTTACAAATACGTGTTCTTGATCTTTTGGTCTTTGAATCTTTGTGGCACCATTGTCTAAAAGCACTCTGCTACCATTAGCTTCGAGGAATTCTCTAATTCTATCCATGTATTGATAGCTACCACCTTGAACTGAGCTCCATTGTGGACGATTAACTATTTTAAATAAGTGATGATTCGAAAAGAAACGAGCCAAGGTAACAATTGGGAATGAATCAATCTCTTTAAAGCTAGTGGACCAAACAGCAGAGGCAACTGGAATGAGATAGTAGTCGATGAATGCTCTTGAGTAACCATTGACCTCACAGTATTGACGAACAGACATTTTTTCATACTTGTCTAATTGAGTTACAATTAATGGACCCTCTTTTGAGAAACGGTATAAATCGATTAACAATCTCCAAAATGATGGTCTAAAAATATTTTGCCATTGTGCAAAAATTGTTGAAAGGTTGTCTGAACACCATTCGACTTCACGTCTAAATGTTTTTTTATTACCATCTGCAACTTCACTCTTTACTACTTCCATTTCTTGTTTCTTTTCGATTGAAGGTCTTGCATTTAATGAATAACCAAATGACATATCTGAAACACCATTTTGAATACCCAACTTTTTGAAGAGGGTCATTAAATTTGGATATTTTTGTGGTGTGTACACCAAGAACCCAGTATCGATTTTAACTGTTTCTTCTTGGAATTTAACATCAACTGTATTTGTATGTCCACCTAAATAATTACCCTTTTCGTAAACTGTGACCTCGTGACCGCCCATGGAAAGTAAATAAGCACATGACATACCAGAAATACCACCACCAATAATTGCAATTTTCATTTTATTATTCTCAATTGGGTCCATTTTATTTTATATTTTATAAACTAATTTATATATAAAAATAATTTTACAATTTAATATTACAATATTTATACAAATATAACAACAATGAAAAAAAATTTTATTTTTTTTACAATGAATAAAAAAAAAAAAAATGAAAAAAATCATGGTTAATTTTAAAATTAAAAAAAATTCATTTTTTTTTTTTTTTTTAAAAATAAAAATCCAATCAATCACTTTCTTCAAAAATAAAAAAAAATTACATATAAAGAAAATTACATTAGTTTTTAATAACACTTTTATAATAAAACTATTTATTTATTTTACCAAAAAAAAAAAATTGTATGGGTATTTATTTGAAAAAAAAAGAAATTCTTGAAAACAAAAGAAAAAAAAAAAAAAAAAATGTTCCAAACCTAAAAAAATCTGAAAAAAAATTTCTAAAAAAAAAAAAAAATATTGTTTATTATATGTATTATCTTGAGATAATTGAACCTAAAAAAATAAATAGAAAAAACATATGTTTTGATATGTGAAAAAGATGCGCAATAAATATTTAAAAAATTTGGTTTGGACTATGGATTAATATCAACAATAAAAAGTAATGGATTTGATGTGTCTACAACAATTCTTGTATCAATGGAAACATTTGATGTACTAATTAAATCGCCAAAATTTAAACTTTGATTTACTAAATTAATTAATTAAAATGTTAGTATATAATTTTAATAATAAATATTTTAAAGTAAATTAAAAAGTTACCTAAATTCCATTTTAAACCGGTTGTAGAAACTTCAGATACTTTAGAAGCTAAAGGAATTAAAGAGCATTTGGTTTCAACTTGACAATCTATACTATGTTTGTATGATGGATTTAAAAGCCATGCAATGTTTTCTTTTGATGTTAAAATAATCTTTCTTTCTGGGTGATCAAAAAGAGTATTTACATTTGCAAATTCATGAGAGAATGAACCACCAAGACCACCCAAAATAATAATTTTTCTATACTATAAATAAAATATTAATATTTAAATTATTTAATATTAAAAACTACTATTTTACTATTATTAATATTTACCTTTATACCACTATTTTTTTCAATATCAACTATTAATTCGAAACATTTTTGAAGATCCGATGTATCTTGACTAGAATCTAAAACAATACTTGAACCTTTTTTAGCATAATAATCGGATACACCCTCATGTAGAGAATCCAAATCTCCTTTAATATAATCTGGGACCCATTTATTAACATGATTAAGTTTGGTACCTAAAGAATAAAGTCTATTAGCGCCACCATCAGCACAGATTTTAACGCTACATTTGTCCCAAAAGAACTCGACCATTTTTTTATTTAGTTTTTGATTTGCAATGACCAATGCACACATATCGTCATATGAATGGACTCTTTTAAAACTTAATGACGATGAGGATGAGTTGGTTTTTAATCTTGGGGTTGATGATGCTGAACTAACACTTTGAACTTCTTCGTCTGAAGATGCTGAGGCTGAAGATGAGGATAATGGTTGTTGACGTTGCTTTCTTGAAGATGTTTGAATTACCTCTCTTTTTTCTTGAAAAAGATATCCACCATAACTATAAACATCCCAGTTTAAAATTTCTTTTTTATTTAATTCTTCATCGTGGATCAATGGTGTAACGTGTGTTGATTCTTGTTGCATTTATTTTAAAAAAATTATTCTATTATAATTTTTATAACTATTATAACTATTACTATTATTATTTAAATATATATTTTATTATTATATATTGAAATTATTTAATATTAATAAAAAATGACAATGAAATATTGCTAAAAAAAAAAAAATGAAAATCCTAAAAGGATGTGATATTAAAAAAAATTAAAAAAAAAAATAAAAAAAAAAAATAAAAAAATTGAAAAAACAATAAAAAAAAACAAGAGATCTTTTTGGTTTTTTATGGAAAAAAATTAAAATAATTTAATTTTTTAAATAAATATTTAAAGGAAAAATAAAATAGTAATTTAGTTTCTATTAAAAATTTTGAAATAAAATTTATTACTAGTATAGAAAGAAAAAAATTATTATTTGAAATGATATGATATAAAAAAAAAAAATAAAAAAATTATTTATAAGATTATTTTTGTTGCATTTAAGTTAATAAATTGTTTTTTATTTTAAATTAATTAATTTAATAGTAATATGGTTTTATGTGGGTAAGTGAGTAAGTGTGTGTGAGAGTGTGTGTATATGTAGTAAATTCACACACTTACACATATACATAAACACATAAACAAAATACAACATTTAAAATTTTAAATTTTTTTTAAAAATTTTTTTTTTTTAATTTTTTTTTTTTTTTTTTTAATTTTTATTTATTTATTTTAAAATTTTTTTTTAATTATATATAAATTTTTTTTTATTTGTTTATTTTTTTAAACCAATAATAATTAGTTTTTTTCTTTTTTATTTCATTTATTTTTCAGATAATTTCGTCATAGAATAAAATTATTATTTACAATATTTTTATACTATATTTCTGGGTAAATAGCAATAAATAATAAAAATAAAAGAATAATAAGTAATAATTATTATCAAATCGAAAAGGGAATAATAATAATAATAACAGAAGTGTTAATTTCCATACAAAAAAAGAAAAAAAGAACATTGGTTTATCAAAAAACAAAAAAAAATAATAATAGACAATTGATAATATAATAAAAACAAAAACAAAAATAATAAAATGAATTTTTTTAAATTTATGGGTCAAAATTTGACCTCAAACCAATCATTCCCATACAATGTGGGCAATGTTGTAACAGGATATGTCGGGAGATCAGTTTGGACATTACACCAAGGTACAAAAAAAGATGATGGATCAGCAGTTTCAATTTTTAATTTTGATGTCAAAAAAAACCCATCAAAACTAGAGGTAGCAAAAAATGGTTTCAAAAGGGCTAAAACTATACGTCATCCAAACTTTATAAAATATTTAGATGGTATGGAAAATGAATCAAATATCTATATTGTAACAGAACCTGTACAGCCATTAGACGAACAAATTGAAGATATAAGATCATTCGAAAATGCAATTTCTTGGGGTATCTATCAAGTTACTGTATGTATCAATTTTTTTTTTTTAAAAAAAATAAATAAATAATAATATTAATAATATTAATAATAATTAAAATTAACAATATTAAAGAAAGGTTTAGCATTTTTAAATAATGATTGCAATTTAACACATGGCAATATTCAAGTTAGCAGTATTTTTGTAACTAAAAGTGGTGATTGGAAAATTGGTGGATTGGATTTTGTTTCAGATGTCAAGGATATAGGCAATAGCATTTTAAAGAATCATCACGATCTCATTCCATCAAAATATAAACCACCAGAAATCACCAAATCTCAATGGTCACAAATTAGCAGCTCTCCACCTAATAGTATCGATTCTTGGATGCTTGGTTGCTTAATTTATGAATGCTATAGCGGATCTTTAACAGCAGCAGAGGATATCAGAAACATTAATGAGGTCCCAAAAATACTTCATGGTGGCTATCAAAAATTATTTTCAGTTAAAACAGAGTCTAGATTGAACCCAAATAAATTATTAGAATCTCAATACTTCCAAAATGTTTTCGTTGAAACCTGTGTATTTTTAGAAAATATCACATTAAAAGATACTTTTGAAAAAGAACAATTTTTCAAGTATGTAGATTTAATCTATTACAAGTTTAATTTTAATTATATTTACTAACTATTTCTTTTATTTATTTTTAAAAAATAGAAAAATTGATCAATATATAGAAAAAATACCAAAAAATATTTGTAAATTTAAAATTTTACCCCATTTAGTTACAGCTTTCGATTTAGGACCAGTTAATCCAAAATTATTAGGTACATTATTAAAGATTGGATCAAGTTTATCAACAGATGAATATAATAATAAGATTGTACCATCTGTAGTAAAATGGTTTGCTTGTGATGATCGTGCACTTAGAATCAATCTTTTAGAGAATTTAGAATTCTATATTCAACATTTAAATGAGAATACAGTTAATGAACAAATTTTCCCAAATGTTGTAAATGGTTTCAATGATAATCCAACTCTTAAAGAAATTACAATCAAATCTATGCTTTTATTCGCTCCAAAACTTTCAGAGAAAACTATGATTCAATTATTAAAATATTTAGCAGCTTTACAAAAAGATCAACAACCAGGTATTAGAACAAACACAACCATTTGTTTAGGAAGAATCACAGAATATATGAGCGATCAAACTAGAAAGAGAGTTTTGATTCCTGCATTCTCTACTGCTTTAAAGGATCCATTTATACCATCCCAAAATGCAGCTATTCAAGCTTTTATGTTTACTCAAAACTATTATACCATCGAAGAAATGGCCGTTAGAATTATTCCAGAATTAACTAGATGCCTTATTTCTCCAGATAAATCAATTAGAACCGCCTCTTTCCAAGCTGTCAACTTATTTTTACAAAAAATCGAAAAGAATATAGATAATGTTTATAGTAGTGGTGGTAACCCTGCTGAATCCACTGGTTCACAACAATCTCCAGCACCTTCCCAACAAACCCAATCTGGTGACTCAATGTTGGGTTGGGCTGTAGGCATGACAAAGAAACTATATAGTGGTGAGAATTCTCCCGCCACTACAGGATCAATGAATTCAAATCCAAACTCAACTCCAACTCCAACTTCAAACTCTACCTCTCCACCTTCCAATAATAACAGCAACCAAAAATCACAATCAAATCAAAATTCAACAAACTCTTCATTAAACTCATCCTCTTCATCATCAATCAATAAACCATCACCAGTATATAATAAAGCAAAAAATACTGACGCTTGGGGTGACGATGATGATTCATTTGATGTCCCAGAGCCACCAAAGAAATCAACCACATCATTACATTCAAATAAACCATCAAAAGTTGTTAATGATGGATGGGGCGATGATGATTCATATGATATTCCAGAACCAACAACTAAAAAACAAACACCTAAATATAGCAACGACAACGATAATGATGATGATGAAGAAAATGATGATAGTTATAAAGAATACAATAAATATAAAGAAGATTTGCCAAGATTATCAACTCCATCAAAACCTTCTTCATCAACACCAACTTCAAACAGCGGCAACAAACCAATGACACTAACCTCAAAGAAACCAACTAAAATTTCAAACTGGGATGAAGGTTGGGATTAAATAACATTACTTTCCAATATAAAATTAAATTAATTTCTATATTTTTTTTTTATTCTTTTTATAAATAAATATAATCAATTTTATATGTATTATATAAAAAAAAATATTAAAAAGTGTTTTTGTTTTTTTTTTAAAAAATAAATATTTTAATTTACAATTTTATTTTAGTTTTTTTTTTATATATTATTAATTATTTTTTTAAGCTATTGAATTATTTTGATCTGATTTTACAGAGTTTAATTCTTTCTTTTGATAGCTTTGGCTTTTTTGTGAACTTGTTTTACGAGTCTTCAACCAAACTGCAAATGAGACACCAGCGGCCAATGCAATCATACCAACTGAGATACCAGCAAGAGCACCTTTACTTAAACCACTTTTACCTTCTGAGATTAAAACGTCTTCGCAGGAGTAGTCGGTACCAACAATTACGGAAGTTTCGGTGAATTGAAGTGAGTATTGACAGCTGTTAGTTTTATTATATTCTTCGTTGTCTGGGTCGTAAATATATAGTTTGACATTTTCACTGTTTAATGGTGTAACAAAACCTTTGTTGGCTTTAATAATTTCCATAGTTGTGTTATCTGTAAGTTCGATGTAGAAATAGATTTCAATAGAGTGGGTATCTAATGAACCTGAAATATTTAACCAACTGTAGTCCATTGGTGAGTTTAAGTATAATTTAATAGTTGCATTTTCTTTAATAACTACATTTCCATCAATGAAAAGTCTAGTTCTTTCTTCCATGATACCAAGTGAACCTGATTCCATAACAATACCTTTGGAGAAGTTACCATAGTAACCATAAACATTGCCATTGCTTGAAACAATATCACTGTTTGTTTGGATTGAGCTTGAGTATAATTTAAATTCACCATTATTTGTAAAACTATCGAAATTCATAATGGAATTTCTTAAACCAAAATCGCAACTTTGACATGAGAATTTACCAGTAGAGCCTAAATTAAAGTTGGCATTATCAAGATAAAATTGAACATTTTTACCATTAAATTGGCTATTTAACTATTAGATAAAATTTTAAATTAATATTAATTTTTTTTTCAAATATTAAATAAATATTATTTTTAACTTACAGTGGTGGTATAATTAAAATTAAAGATTGAATTTTCAATATTGATTGGTGAATTAACATTACAGTTTGATTTGTATGTAAAAACAGAGTTAACAAAGGATGCAGATTTTGGTGAAAATGTCATTGGATTTTTTTGTAAAATTGAAAGAGTTGATCCAACAATATTAATTGATGATTGTGATGATAATGATAAAACATCTAAATATAAGCTTGAGTTTGTTAATGAAATTTCATTTGAACCAGATAGAGTCATTGGACCAGTAATTTGTACTTGATAGGCATTGACAGCAACAATAGAGCTTGAGTCAGTAAAAGTGATACCATTTTTAGTATTGTTTAAGAGGATTTGACTTGGGCCTTGGAGTTTAATTTGAGAGGTACCTTTAACTGTAGTGGATTCTACTTCGAGATTTGGTTCAGAGTTTACATCAGAATAAATGAAAAGAGTTGTGGCATCGTTCATAACAAATGGACCACTGATTTTTGAGTTTGATCTAAAAACATTCATAACACTATCTTCGTTTAATGTTATTGAGGCAGCTTTGAAAGTTGAACCAAGAGAAGCATTTAAAAGAACAATTGAACCTTGTGATGCTGGTTTTTTAGTTAATGCTGTAAAATAGTCGTCAGTAATTTGAATTCTGAGAGTACTTTGGCCACTAAGAGTAATAGCATTGGTCACTATTAATGAGGTATCTTGAACAGACATTTTATTATTTCCACTGATTTGTACGGATGAATAAGTTAATTCTTTTGGTGAATCAACTTGTAATTCTATTATATTTTGTTGTGTTGAGGTTAATAAAATATTGTCTGAAGATGTTGGTAAAGATGGATCCCAACATTCGGCTTCACTATAGACACATTCGTTAGAACCTGCTATCCATGATATATCTGATTGTGAAATAACATATTTATTTAAAATAAATACAAAAAACAATAATATATATTTATTCATTTTGATTTTAAAAAAAAAAAAAGTTTTTATTTAATGGGTGATTTTTTTTTTTTAAATTTTATAATGTTTTTCTTTAAATGATTAATTATTCTGCACTAAATAAAATAAAATAATTCCAAATGGTGAGGATAATTATGATGTTGATGATGATAAATAATATGATTTAATTTTTTATTTATAATTTAACAAAAAGATATTAAAAAAAATAAATAAAATTAATTTATTAATTATATATTAAAATTTTATTATTATTTGATATTTTATTTATAATAGTGATTAGGTAGGTGTATTAAGTTTTTATTATTTTTATTTTGTTTTTATTTTTTTAAATTTTTATTTTATTTGTGATGTGATGGTTTGATCTTTTTTTTTTATTTTTTTTTTTTTTTATATATATTAAAAATCTATTTGAAGTTGTGGGGGTTATGTGGTAGTGAGAGAATTAGAAGAGCAGCTATTAATTGCTTTTTGATTTTTTAAATTAAATAAATATTAAATATATATATTTTACAATTTTATTGGTACAGTTTTTTATTTTATTTGTAATATTACAGAGAGTGATCAATTGATCAATAAATAAATAAATAAATTAATAATTTAAATTTTTTTTTTTTTTTTTTTCTAGTGTACTATTTATATTTTAAAAAATAAAAAAAAAAAAAAAAAAATAAAAAGAGAAAAAAAAAAATTAATAAAAACAAAATAACAATAATAATTATATTAATATTAATTTATATATAGGGTGTGGGAATGTGGGTTTTTTTATTGTGTATGTGTGTAACAATTTGAATGATAATGTGTGTATGTGTGAGAGGTGTATGTGTGTGTTTGTGTGTTTTTGTGTTAAGTTAACCGAATCAGAAAAAGCTGTTTAGTGAAACCACTTTTTCAAATGTGTATTTATTTTGAAAGATAAAAAAATACTGTGGTGATTAAATATATTTAATTTCTTTTTTCTATTTTATAAATTTTTTTTTTTTTTAATTCTATTTATAAAAACTAAATGTTATAATTAGAATATTATGTTTAATTTTTTAAATTTTATAATTTGAAAAGAAAAAAACAAACCAAATAATTTTAAAAAAAAAATATTTTAATTATTTTAAAAAAAAAAAAAAAAAAAACATTAATAAAAATAATGGGAATGTGTGTGTTTGTTTGAAAAACACAATGTAATCCACACTAAATTTTACGAAGGAATGTGATTTCTCTCTAATATAATAATTCAATCACTTTGAGATTGTGGGTGCAGATTCAAAATAATTTTTTAAAAAAAATAAAATAATTTTAAATTTCAAAAAAAAAAAAAAAAACAATTTTTTTTATAAAGATATATATTTAAAATAGATTCAAAATCTAATTGTTTTTCTAACATCACAAAACTCGTCATTAAATTATCAAATAATTTATTTGAATTGAGAAAAAATACTCACACAAAAAAAAAAAAAAAAATTTTTTTTTTGTGGGTGTGGTAAAATTTTAGAGTGTGTTGGGTGGGCTCCTTCGCACTCCACTTTTCCAATACCACTATTAAAGTGTAAGCACTACAAAAAGTATCTAATTTTAATCAAATTTTATATCTTATTTATTTTGACAGGGGTGGGTGGTTTTTTTCATCTTATCATTTAGCTTCCAAAAATAAATTTTTTATTCCATACATATTTTGTTTAAATAATTATTCAGACACTAACAAAAAATAAATTTTTTCATTATTTTCTTTTGTTTTTTTTTTAATTTTTTTTTATATTATAAATCGGAAAAATGTTGCTTAAATAAATTATTTGAATCAAAATTCATACATTTTAAAATTACTATAACCATATCAATTAATGGTATTCAACTTTTTACAAACCTAAATTAAAATTAAAACTAATTGAAATCTTGGGGTTTTAAAATTTTTTATTTCTGATCACCCACGAATGGTGTATAACCAGTTAAAAAATTTCTTTATCATTAAAAAAAAAATAAAAATTCAAAAAAAATAAAAACAAAATTTTTTAATTTTTTTCAATTTTTTTTGTGTTGTTCTCATAAAGTTTTAAATTTTAAATAACAATAACAGCAGATTCATTAGTTATATGTACCTTTGAGGTGAAATGATATAGTCATAAATAACAATGAGACCAGTTTCTTCATATGAGAAACTTGGAAGTATTGGAGAGGGGACATATGGAATAGTTTGTAATTATTGATTTAAATAATAAATGCATTTGGTTAACCCATTACTAATCTTTTTTTCTTTATTATTTACGAATAATATATCATAACAATAACAACCATATTTATAAACAATCCAAAACTGTTCAAACATACAATTTCATCAACAAAATAGATAAAGGTAGGGATAAAGAAAGTGGAAGGATTGTTGCATTAAAAAAAGTAAAGATGGAGCAAGAAAAGGATGGAATGCCACTTGTGAGTATTTATGTTATTAAATATTGATTTATGTGTGTTTCTATATATATATTATATTATATTGTATTATTTTTGTGTATATCAGTGTGTGTTTTTTTTAAACACTAAAATAAGACCCTTTTTTTTTTTTTTTACTATTTTTATTTTTTTTCTTTTTTTGTTATTGTTTTAAAAAACTTTAGAGGTGTATAATTAATTTATATTTAGATATATTAAACAATTTTATGTACAAAAAAATTAACACGAAAATGTTTCTTTCATTATTTTACAATTTAAAAAATACAACATCCCACTCTACACACAACACAAAAAAATTTTTATATATCTTTGAATATTTTTTAACCCAATATTTAATACACCCCAAAAAAAAAAAAAAAAAAGACATTCACAATAATTTTTGTGTATATCTATTTTACCCACTTTTTTTTTTTTTAATTAATTAATATTTTTTTTTTTTTTACCTCCCTCAATCTCTTTTTTTTTTTTTTTTTTTTCTATTTGTTTAGTAGTTACCATCTTTTTTTTTTTTTTTTCAATTTTTTAATGTGTTAATTTATTAATTAATTATTTTAAAATTTTCTAAATCTAAAAGACATCATTAAGAGAAATTCAATTATTAAAGGAATTAAAATATCATCCAAATATTGTAAATCTAATAGAAGTTGTTGTAGGTTCAAGAGAAGATAAATTATATTTGGTTTTTGAATATTTGGAAAATGATGTCGCCACTTTAATTGATAATATCAATAAACCTTTCAAACTTTCAGAGATTAAATGCTTCCTATTACAACTTTTAAGAGCTGTTGAATTTTTACATTCACACTGGATTATTCACAGAGATATAAAGTGTTCAGTAAGTATTATATAAAGTTTTTATTTATTTATCTTTTTATTAATTTATTTTATTTCTTTTACTTTACAGAATTTATTATATGGAAATGGGTCATTAAAACTCGCTGATTTTGGACTTTCAAGAAAATATGGTTATCCAATTCAATCCATAACACCAAATGTTGTAACTTTATGGTACAGATCACCAGAACTACTATTAGGTCTTGAAAAGTATTCCACCGCTGTAGATTTATGGTCAGTTGGTTGTATTTTTGGCGAGCTTTGTATTGGTAGGCCATTAATTGCCGGTAGTAATGATATTGATCAGATCACAAGAATGTTCCGTCTCTTAGGCTCACCCAACGATTCAATTTGGCCAGATTATTCAAATATACCAAATGCCAAACTTTTAAACATACCCTATCAACCCTATAGCAATATAAAAGAAAGAGTACCAAATTTGTCAATGAATGGTTATAATTTGTTAAATAAGTTGCTAACCTTTGACCCCAATAAAAGAATTAGTGCCTCTGAAGCTTTAAAACATCCATTCTTTTTTGAAAGTCCATTTCCTCAATCAATAGATATGATGCCAAATTTCCCTGCAATTTTAAAAGATAATTTAAAACAATCGAATAATAATATACAACAGCAAAAACAACAACCACAACCACAGCAATATAATAAATCAAGAAATGAATACAAATATAAAAGTTATAAAGATGATGACAGCTCCTATTTTTCAAGATATGATTTAAAAGATTAAATAAACTAAAAAATAAAAAAACATATAATTTTCATTATATTTATAAATAATATTTTAAAAATACACTTTATTTCTTTTTTTTTTTTTTTTTTTTGAAATTATTACACTTTATTTTTTTTTTTTTTATGTCTATATTTCTATATATTATTTATATATATTTATATATTTTCTATTAATATCACTGTTTGTTGGTTATTGTTTAGAAGAATGAACCATTTATATCGCCAAATGGAGTTGTATTTTGTTGTGGTTGTGGTTTGGGTTGGAAATTTGATGAAAAGAAATCATCATTACCAAAAGCGTTATTATTGTTATTTGGTTGAATATTATTAAAATTATGACTTTTACCACTTCCAAGCATGCCGTTACTAGAGATATTATTATTATTGTTAGATGAGTTATTTGCACCAAATGGATTAGCAAATGGGTTCGATGAAGCAGTTGCTGGTGGTGGAGTTGATGATTGAGAAGTATTGAAAGTATGTTCGAAAGGATTTGGTTTGGTAACACTACCACTATTACTACCTGTAGTACTGCTACTATTATTATTACTATTAAAGTTATTACCTGAAAATGGTGATAAGCTTGCAAATGGTGAGTTTTGTTGTTGTTGTTGTTGTTGTTGTTGTTGTTGATGTTGATGTTGATGTTGATGTTGTGGTTGTGGTTGTAAAACATTGTTATTGGCACCACCACTATTTATCATATTATTATTACTATTAAAGCCGTTGGTGTTGCTAAAACTGTTGCTATTGTTGTTGTTGTTGTTGTTGTTACTAAATGGATTCATTTGTGGAGATGAGTTACCACCAAGACCACTACTGTTCCAATTATCGTAAAGATTTGATTTGCTTGGTTGGTTAAATGGTGGTGGTGAACTATTATTTATATTATTGAAATTATTAAAATTGTTATTATTGGAACCTCCACTGTTAATCATGTTATTTTTATTTGATCCACCACTATTAATCATATTATTGTTACTATTGAAACCATTGTTCATATTGTTATTATTAAAGACATTATTATTATTACTATTACTATTAAGTCCACTGTTCATCATGTTATTATATAATTGGTTTGATTGATTATTAAATCCATTATTATTGTTATTAAATGGTTGTGATTGTTGGTTACCTTGGAATGGAGAATTTGGTGAAGGGTTGCCCCATTGATTAACGGATTGTTGCCAGCTAGAATTATTTGAGTTATTCCATGAATTATTTTGGTCAAATGGTGATTGATTAAATTGTGGGGTGCTTTGTTGGCTAAATTGGTTATTATATTGTGGTTGTTGTTGTTGTGGTGAAAATTGATTGTTAAATTGTTGTGGTTGATTAAATTGTTGTGGTTGTTGATTAAACTGTTGTGGTTGACCAAATTGATTATTAAGTTGTGGTTGTTGATTAAACTGTTGTGGTTGGCCAAATTGATTATTATTGTTATTGAATTGGTTACTATTGTTATTAAATTGATTATTAAATTGGCTATTAAATTGTTGTGGTTGTGGTGGTTGTTGTGGAGCTGGTGTAGAAAAAATATCATTTAAATCAATTAAACTACTGCTTGGTTTTGACTGTTGTTGTGGAGCTGGTGCTCTTTGACCAACTAACGGAGGGGTGGTTGAGAGTCTTCTTTGTTGTGGTGGTTGTTGTGATGGTGATTGGTTATAAACTTGAATTGATGGAATATCAGCACCCAAAATATTTGAAAGTGGTTCAACTTTTGGAATACCATTATCTACCCATAATTTTTTATTGTACTTTAATTCTATAAATTGTCTAATACTAGTTGAATTATTTTCATCTGGTTCTGGAAAATCAGATGGTTTCCAACGTGCTAACCAATAAGATCTAGCTACTTTATTACCACCTTGTCTAAGTTTTGAAACTTCTTCTGGTTTAAATGAACCCATTGATACTGATTTAACTCTACGTCCCATATTTGAACTATTTGATTAAAAAAAATAAAAAAAAAGAAAAAGTTTATTAATTAATATATTATTATTAAAAATATATTTATGTACTGTAATACTTACTGAATACCACTACAAGCAGTACAAACAAATGTGGCTAAATCCAAACATGCATAAACTGAACCCATTGGACAATCCATACATTTGACATTTTCTGGTAATCTCATTAACTCTCTTACCTGTCTTTCATTCATATCATTTTTTGACATTTTATATTATTATATGTAGGTGGTGTAATATTACTATTATTTATATATTATATTAATTTTATTGGAAAAAAAATAAAAAAAAAGTTTTATTAATGTATTTAATAAAAAAATAAAAAATAAAAAAGATTATAATAATAAATAACAAATTATTTTTAAATAAAAAAAAAACCAAAAACCAGCTTTGTATTGTTGTTGTTTTAAAACAATTTTTTTTTTGGTTTATTAAAAATTAAAAAAAAATAAAAAAAATAAAAAATAAAAAAAATAAAAAAAAAAATAATTTTTTTTTTTTTAATTTAAAATAATTATTTTTTATTTTTTTACATATGAAATCGTTATTTATGTTAATTTGCTATAACAACATTTTGTTTTTAGATTGCGAAAGAATGTCTTTAATGAATTTTTTTTTTTTTTTTTTTTTTAATTCAGCGAATGATCAAAAAAAAAAATAAAAAAAAGGTAATACATGAAAATAAATAAACCAAAAAAAAAAAAAAAAAAAAACCCAGTTTATTTCTGAAATCAATTGGCGGGCTCAACCCAAATTTTTTTTTTTTTTTTTTTTTTTTTTATTTTATTTATTTATTTTTTTTATTTATAATTTTAATTCTTGATCAGATTTTAATGGAGCAAAATAGGATTTAACTAAATCGTCTGAAACTTGGTCGATTGAGGATGGGTTCCATTTTGGATTCTTATCTTTGTCAACTAAGAGAGCACGAACACCTTCGAAAAAGTCTGGTTTTTCAAGGAAATGTTGAGAGATACGGAATTCCATTTCGAGACATTTGGCTAATGATGGTAATTTTTTGCCTTGATTCATTTGTTCGAATACAACTTTAAGTGAAGTTGGTGAAACGGTTTTAAGAGTTTTAAGAGTTTGTTTTGACCATTCAGTGTTTTCTTTTTCCAATGAATCAAAGATTTCTTCGACTGATGATTTACCAAAGATTCTTTCAATAGTTTCTAAATTTTGATTGAATTCTAATGATGAGTCGTTAACATCAATTTTATCACAAACTTGATCTAAAACTTTTTTAACATTTTCATGTGTTGGATTACTTAAATTTTCTAATGCGCTTTCTACATCTTTAATTCTTTCATTTGAAATAAAATGAGTTGCAACACCTGAAGCTCTAAAAATAAAGTATTAATATTGAATTTTGATGTATGTAACATCGATATTGCACTATATATCGTTGATAATGATACCTACAAAACATTTTTACCCTTCAATTTATTACCAGTTAAAGCTAAATACATACCATAGTTATGTTTTAATTTTGGTAAAAAGTGTGAACCACCAACATCACAAAAGAAACCAATAGCTGTTTCTGGCATAGCAAAAACAGTAGTATCGGTAGCAACTCTAAATTTACCGTGAACTGATAAACCAACACCACCACCCACTAAAAAAGTTTTAAATTAGTAAATTTAAATTATTTATTTTATTTACTATATAAAATAAATATAGTTACTTACTTGCAAAACCATTATAGATTGAAACTTGTGGAATTGGATTGGTACCAATTAAATTATTTAAAATATATTCTTCACGGAAGAAAAGATCACCAATGTTTTCAGTTGATGGGGCAACACCTTTTTTATAATCGTAAATGGCTTTGATATCACCACCAGCACAAAAAGCTTTTTCACCAGAACCTTTCATAATTAAAACCATGTCACCATCTTTCATATTCTTCATTTCTTGATATTTTGGTGTTAAAAGCTTAACCATTCCTGGGTTTAAAGCATTTAAAGCTTTTGGTCTATTTAATAAAACATTTAAACATTTACCTTTTTTATCAAACAAAACTTCCTATATATTTTTTAATAATTGTATTATTTAGTAACGTGTTGATAATATTATTGATAAATAATAAATAATGATGTTATACTTCTGTTGATGTTGTAAAGTATCTAACGTTTTTTGATGTAAGGTTAATTGCTCTGAACATTATTGGTTTGGCTGAATTTTAAAAAATTAATTTTAAAAAAAAATTTAAAAAAAAACTTTTTTTTTATTTTTTTTTATTTTTATTTTTTTTTTACAATTGCTCTTATTCAAAATTGATCCTTATATTTCAATATATTCCAATTTAAAAAAAAAATAATAATTAAAATTTTGTTTTTTAAAATAAATAAATAAATAGATTTTTTTTTATTGTTTTTTTTTTTTTTAAATTATAACCACACCACTTTTTAAAGCTCATCTTTTACTTTTTTGGGTTCTTTTTCGTTATTTTGATTATTTGGTTGAGCTTCGGTATTTGAACTTTCAATATTGTTTTTTAAATTATGTTTTACACCTGAAAGAATTTGTTTTTCTTGGAATGCAAGATCAAAAGCTAATTTCTCTTTAATCTTTAATTGAGTATATTCTGGAGTTTTAATAAATTCCTTATCCTGTTCAATTGTTGTTAAATAGTGTGATTGTTTTAATTCAACTAATCTAATAAGATACTCTACAACTGATTCTTGTTTATATGCTATATATTTTGATACCTTTAAAAGATCTTCAGTGAGTGAATCTAATGAAATTCTTAACATCTTAACACCTTCTTCTTCAAAGAAATTATTAATTAATATCATTTTTTCTTGTTTTTTTGGATCCTAAAGAGATTATGAAAAAAGATTTTTATATTAGTATAAACAGTTTTAAATTTGGTTAAATTATTTGGAGATATAGATATACTTACATTTTGGTTGATTGAGTCAAATAACTCCTCAATTAAAACATTGACACATGATTGTGAGTTGATTTCTTTAATGATGTAACCATTATCGGATAGTAATTCGCTGTTACAATAGTGATGGTCAAAATTAACAAAGATTTCTTCTTTTGGATTAATATTGGCAATAGTTCTGACATCAACAGTTCCCAACTCTTCATCGTATTCAATGTTGGCATTTGGTTCATTGGAACGTCTAAAGAAATCGAGGTATGGTGCAATTGTGGCTGATGGTTTATTTGATTCTGGGTTTGGAACATAAATTCTACGTGCTGAAACAGTTGCATATGCCCAACTAAATCTTTCCCAATTGAGTTCATTTTTGCAATTTTTAGTAATCAAATCTTCTTTGAAAACAGTAGATGCTAGTTTTTCGAAGAGTTCTTTTGCTGATTGTCTTTCGATCATAATTTGAACAAATGCTGGTGATCCTTTAAGATAGTTTAATTCTTCATCAGTATAAAAAATTGCACTATTGTAGTGTTCTGGTAGAGATGATACCCATGCCTTTAAATCGTAAGGTTCGTCTTCTAAACAGTATCTATAAACCAATAAGCCAACAGTCAAAATATCCTCCTCTGCCAACTGTAATTCCATGAGTTTGTCAAATAATTCAGTTTGTTCAACATTGACTGTATCAATACTTAAAGTTGAGGTCCATTTCACTTTGAGGAGTTCATTCCCCTTCTTAATCTTTTTTTCACCTGCAAACATACTATATAACTGCTCTTCATCATTGACCCCTGTTAAATACTCTTTACCTTTCACTTCTTCAGTTTTACGTATTGAATAGACATTTCCTTTTTTTACAAATGGTGTTGCCCAAAGATTTAATTTATTAATTTCTTTAATTTTATTTTTAATTTCTTTACTGAAAACTGCATTATTATTTGATGAAATAATTACCATAAAATATAACAATACAACCAATAAATAAATTATTTTCATTTTTTTTCTTTTGTTTAAATATAATGAAATAAAATTTTTAAAAGTAATATTCAAAAAAAAAAAAATAAAAAAAGGAAAATAAAATTAAAAAAAAAAATAAAAAAAAATAAAAAAATCATTTTATTTTTTTTAAATTTAATTTAATTTTATAAAATAGGAAAAAGATTATCTATTAAAGGTGTACATATTTATACTATAAATAAAATGATTTTTTCTTTATTTTTTTTTTTTTTTATAGCCACCTTTTTATATTAATTTCAAATAATAATAACCATATATTTTAATTTTTTATTTTTTCTCGGTGATGGAAATGTTTATTTTAAATATCGATACCTATCGAGGAGCATATTTTTATTTTTTTTCTTCTAAAATTATAGTTTATTAAAATTTTAATTAATTTTAAAAATAATTTTTTTTTTTTTTTTAAAATAATTTTTAAAAAATTTGTTTTTTATTTTTATTTTTTTTTTTTTTCATACAATCATAAAACACATTTTTTTTTTTTTTTAATACAACCATATTTTATATATTATATATATATATGTAGAGAAATGAAATCGAATGTTAATAAAAACAGCAATATGAAACAAACAAATATAAGTCAGTTTTTTGCACCTGCTCCTGCTAAACCTGTTGTCGAGGTATTTATAATTACTTTATTTTATGGCGGCAAATTTTTTTCATTGCAAATTTTTTTTTTTTTAAATTAAATATATAACTAATATTTAATTATTTATTTTATTTTAAATATAGGAGGGATTTGATTCTTTTTTTGATGATATACCATCAGAAGAAATTGAATCATCAATGTCTATTTCATCACCACCAACTACACCATCAAAACTAAAATTACCACCATCATTTAAGACACCAACAAAACCATCTACACCTTCATCATCATCAACACTAATCAATCATTTCTCCCAAGCTAGCTCATCAACAACAACAAAAAATTTAAATGCTTTGTTTAAAGAAGAAGCAGATGCCAAACCATCATCAACATCATCTACCGCCAAAAATACAAACAGCAATACTACCTTAAGTAAAAATACAACAACACCAACTTCAAAAAAAAGAAAAGAAATTGATATTATAGATGAAGATGAAGAAGAAGAAGATGAAGATAATAATGAAAATGATTCCAAAAGTATAAATATGGCTTCATCGGCGATTTCAACACCAAGCAGGTCAAGAAAACAAGTGATTACATTTGATGACGATGACGATGAAGAAGAAGATGACAACAATGACGACGAAGATGACAGCAATAGCTCTCAAAAGAAACAAAAAGGCAAACCATTTGGCAAAAAAGATAAAAAAGAGATTGAACAAAGATATTCATTTTTGGTTGATGTCAAAGATGGAAATGGTAATAAAAAGGGATCTCCAGACTATGATCCAAGAACTCTTCAAATCCCTGCAAGTTGTTTAACTAAATTTTCTCCATTCGAAAGACAATTTTGGGACATCAAATCCAAATATTATGATACAGTGGTATTTTTTAAAAAGGGTAAATTCTATGAACTATATGAGAATGACGCAGATATTGGCCATCAAATTTTACATTTAAAAATGACAGATCGTGTAAATATGCGTATGGTGGGCGTTCCAGAATCTGCATTTACTCATTGGGCATCAAAATTAATTAATTTGGGTTATAAAGTTGCTAAAGTCGATCAAATGGAAACTTCAATTGGTATGAATAAAAGACAAAATGAAAAAGGTGGCCGTAATAAAAAAGACTCAATTATCCAACGTGAACTTACATCAATTCTTACAGCCGGTACTCTTTTGGATGAATCTATGATCTCCGATAAAACATCAACCTATTTAATGGCAATTAAAGAAGACGAATACAGTAACAAGTATGGTGTATGCTTTGTCGATGTTTCAATTGGCGAGTTTTTCCTTTGCTCTATTGACGATGACGAAAACCGTATGCAGTTTGAAACCCTTTTACTTCAAATGATGCCAAAAGAAGTTGTATATGAAAAAGGTGCAATTAGTGCTAAAACAATGTCAATCATGAAAAGAGTATTGGCCACAGTCAAACCAGTTATGAATGCCCGTTTATCATTGGAATACTGGGATCCATCTGAAACTTTAAATCGTGTCAACGATTCATGTGGTAGGATTCCGGAATCATTGAAAGAAATGAAGAATGAAACACTTTTAATATGCTCATTAGGTGGTTGCCTTAGTTATTTAAGTGACATTAAAATAGCTCAACAGGTTTTAGAACAAGGTCGTTTCAAACGTTTCAATTCATTGGATGTTGGAAACTCTTTAATTTTAGATGGTCAATGCTTAGTAAATTTAGAAATCTTTAATAACTCTACCGATGGTACCACCGAGGGTACACTTTTCAAACTAATGGATAGATGTGTTACTTCGTTTGGCAAACGTTTATTTAGACAATGGATTTGTAGACCATTAGCTAATAAAGAGCGTATTGTAGATAGACAAAGAGCAATAGAACATCTTAGAGATAACCCAGATCATCTCCAAAAAGTTATTTCAATTCTCACAAAAATACCAGACCTTGAAAGAATGCTTGCAAGAATTCGTGCAGGTTCATCAAAGATCGCAGATTTAATTTCAGTTTTAAATCACTTTGAAGCAATTCATAGCAAATTGGAAGAGTTTGAAAAAGTAGATGAAATCGAATCATTTAATCTTAGAAGTTGCCTTACCCTGGTCAGTGTTGGTGGTAATAGTTGTGATGAAAATATGAACGATAAAGATGATGACAACGAGAAAATGGAAGATTTCGAACAAGAACAAATCAATGGTAATTATTCAGGCTATCCTAATTTATTGAGATATATTACAACCATCAAAGAAAGTTTTAAGGTCGAGCAAGATAAAATAATTCCATCAAAAGGTCTTTTCAAAGAGTTTGATGAATGTCAAAAGAAAATTCAACAAATAGAACAATCATTAGAAGAACATCTAACAGAACAAAAAACATATTTTTCATGTCGTAATATTGAATTTAAACATATGGGTAAAGAAATTTATCAAATCGAAGTGCCAGTATCCGCCTTAAATCGTGCCAAACTTCCAAAAAATTACCAACTAAAATCAAAGACCAAAGCTGCCTGTAGATATCATACCCCATTCATTATCGAAACACTACCAAGTCTTTTAGAAGAGCGTGACGAGCTTGAAGTGCTATCAAAAGAAGTGTCAAAGAAAATCCAAGCAAACTTTAGTGTTTATTTTAATCATTTCTCAAAAGCTGTTCAAAGATTAGCACAATTGGATTGTTTATTATCATTATTTAAAGTTAGTTGCCAATCAGGAATTCAAATGTGTCGTCCAATTTTTGTTTCAAAGAGTAATATTAATAACTATGATACAAACAGCAATGGTGGCGATGAAGGTAGCAAAGTTCCAACAAACAATGGTGGTTTCCTTGATGTTAGAGATATGAGACACCCTTGCATCTATTCGAAAGCCGGGGATGACTTTATTCCAAATGATCTTTCATTAAATGTTGAAAACTCCCCACCATCAATCTTAGTTCTCACAGGTCCAAATATGGGTGGTAAAAGTACCTTATTACGTCAAGCATGTATTTTGGTTATTATGGCTCAAATGGGTTGTTTTGTCTCTGCATCAAGTTGTGAAATGTCAATAGTAGATCGTATTTTCACTCGTTTGGGTGCCAACGATAATATTTTAGCTGGCCAGTCAACATTTATGGTAGAGCTTCAAGAAACTTGCTCAGTACTCAAATATGCCACCAATCGATCATTAGTTATTCTTGATGAACTAGGAAGAGGAACCAGTACATTCGATGGCTATTCAATTGCTTACTCTGTTTTAAATTATATCACTAAAAACTTAAAATCCCTTTGTATTTTTGCAACCCATTACCAGTCTCTAGCTATGGAGCCATCAATTCGTAATGAAATCTCCACAGGATATATGACTTGTCAAGTAGACGAAGAAGAGAAAAGAGTAATTTTCCTTTACAAATTAGCAAAGGGTATTTGCCAAAAATCATATGGTTTACATGTTGCTGCAATGGCTGGTTTACCAAAAGAAATTGTTGCCAAAGCTGAAAAGAAATCTGAACAAATGGAAAAAGAATCAGTTTTAGTCTCCTATATCCACGGTACAATTCACAGATCCGAAATGGTTAAAAAGATTATTACAGCTTTCAAGAATAAAGACCACAGTGATTTAAAAATTTTATCAGATACTTTAAAAAAACTTGATTTAAATAATAACATCCCAGACCAATAATTTTAATCAGCAACAATGTTAATAATAATCAAAATTAATTAATGGATTTTTAAATTAGATCATTAATTATATATTTAAATAACCTTTAATAAAAAATAAAATAATATTTTTGTACATAAATTTAAAACAAATAAGGTGATAAGACTATTATTTTTTAATTATAAATATTTACAATTTTATTTTATATAATGGAAAAAAAAAATAAAAATAAAATTAATTATGTTTTATATATCTCGATTTATATGGTAGTTTTAAATTATTATTTTGCTATGTTGTTATTTTGAATCATATTTTGTATGTTTTTTAGCTTGACCCAATTCACAACTATTAACCTTTGCAGCGAAACGAAGTGAGCTGATTGATTCTTGAAGATCCTTTGGTTCTGGTGAAATATTTACAAACATTAAAGTTTTAGAGTTGCCACCAATAGAGTTTTGTAAAAGATAAGTGAGCTTACTATTACGATAAGGAATGTGTTGTTCTTTATTTGCAAGAGCTGAAATAACATCACTAAGAGATGATAAACTTTTATTAATAGCTTGAGTTTCTTTAAGACGGTCACCAGTTACTCCAGATTTTGAAACACGCTCTGAACCAGCCAAATCTATTAAATTTAAAAGACCTTGAGTACGCTCACCAGATTTTTCATTATAGCCCATTAATTTTAATTGAAAAACGGTATGTGAACGAGATGAACGCTCATTACACAAAGTTTTGGCAACTGAACGATTTTTATTTGCAGTATTAAGTAAATCATAAACTTTTGAAGGTGATGAAACTGGTACCACTGTTAAATTGGTAACTGATGTACTGTTGTTTTCTAAGTTATGTTTGATATCATATTTTAATTGATCGACCATAGCTCTATTATTGTTAAGTAAATCCACAATAGCTTCGTTGTAAATCTCTAAAAAGAAGCATTCCATTTGATATTGCCATCCTTTGGTTCTAAGTTCAGCTGCAGCACTAAATATTAACTGGACGGCTCTTGGTATCATACCACGTTGTTCAGGTGATCCGTTTCCTCCAAAAAGTGTATGGGTTTTGCCTGAACCAGTTTGACCATAACTAAAAATACATGTATTGTATCCGTCAAGCGATGACTGAACCAATTGAGAAATCTCTTCAAAAACAAACTCTTGGGTTGATGTTGGTCCAAAAACACGGTCGAATGTATAGTTTACTTTTTTAACACTTGTTTCCCCATTAAATGAATTGGTGACTGTAGTATTGACATCTATTGTATTTTCAGTTCCTGGTGGCAATAAATAGAGCTGATCGGATGTAGTATTATTGAAATCTGGTCTTATTCTACAAAAAACTCTTATACTACCTTTTAACCTGAATAAATTAAATAATAATAATAAGTTAATAATTTATTTTTTTTCGTTCATATTTTTAATAACTAATCTTACTCTTGAATTGTGTTATGAAGTTGTTTTCTTATTTTTTCGTCTTGTCTGCTCTTTTCTAAAAGTTGTTCTTTGTCTTCTAAAAGTTGGTGAATCGATTGGTCTCTTTCTTTAAGCAATGCCAAAAGTTTTTCAATTTCTTGGTCTTTTTCAGAAGTAATAGATTGGATGGAATTAAATTTGCTATCAATTTCAAGTTGTCTTTTTGAATTGCTTTGGATCTCTCTTTGTAAATCTTGAATAATTAAATTGGCATTTTGTAAACTGTTTTGTAAAGTTTCGTTTTGTACTGTTAATTGACTAATTCTATATTTTTGATCCAAAAGTTCCTTATCTTTATCCTGAATTGCCATTACTAAATTTTTAATTTCGCTTTTTAATTTATCATTTTCTTTACTCTTTTCTTCATAGTCCAATCTTGTTTTTAAATCGTGTACAGAAAGAGATACTAAGAAAATAAAATAAAAAAATGTTAATATTATTATTTCAAAGAATTATTTTATATACAACTTACATCTTGGTGGTTTAAAAGAGTCATTAAATGAATCAAACTGTGTTTGTAAGTTACCTCTAAATGATTGTGTAAATTCATCAATTTTTCCAATTCTTTCTTGAAGTGAGGAATATGTTTTTTCATTCTTTGAAAATGGTGCTGATGAAAGAATATTTGATTTCTCTATTGGTGAAAACTTTTTAAACTCTGAACTATTGTTTGATAAACTTGATACATTAAGAGAGCCATCTGATGTTGGTGAACTAATCATTTTATTGTTGTTGTTATTATTATTGTTATTAATTTTATTTGCTATCGAACTAACTTTACCAACACTATTATTATTATTATTATTGCTATTGTTGTTGTTGTTGTTGTTGTTGGTTCTATTTGGTTGGGTGGCTATAGTTTTTCTTATATTTGAAGAAATATTTGTTTGATGTGGTTTAACAAAGTCGTTTAACTTTTTTTTAACAATTGGTTTTATATTTGTTGAAGATGTTGCGGATATTGTTGTTGCCGCTGTGTTTGAGGTGTTTTTTTTTTGTAATAAATGTGCTCTAGAAGTTTGTAAATTTATTTGTGTTGAAGTATTACCATTAGCATTTTTATTGTTACCACTGCTACTGTTATTACTATTACTATTAACTAAACCAATAGTACTTTGATTGAATCTATTACTACTATTGTTTTTAAATGTACTATTATTAAAACTATTACTATCTAAATTGATTACACTATTCGTTAATAATGGTTGTTGTTGAATGTATTTCGAATCGGTAGATAGAGGATATGAGATTCTATCAGAAACTTGTATTGGTTTCTTTAGTAAACTGGGTCTATTATTATTTAAGTTATTTAAGTTTGTGCTGTGACTAGGTGAATTAGGATTATTACTATTAATATTATGAAAGTTATTAATTATATTTGTAATTGAGTTTAAAGGTTTATCCATTTTTTTTTTTTAATTTTAGTTTTTTAATTTATAAAAATTTAAAAAAAAAAAAAAAAAAAAAAATTATAAAAAATAATGAAAATTTAAAAACCCCCGCCTTTTTTTTGAATTAAAAATGAAACTAAAAAAAATAAAATAAAAAGCAAAAGGAGAAAAAGAAAAAAGATTAATAAAATAAATAAAATAAATAATATTTATCTATTTTTAATTTGAAAAACCTGTATTAAATTTTTTAAAAAAAAAAAAAAAAAAAAAAAAAAAAAAAAAAAAAATGATGTATTGATTTTAGATTTTAATTTTATTATATTTTATTATTATTATATTTTATTATATAATATTGATTCTAAATAAAAAAAATAAAAAAGAGAGAATATTTGAAAAAAAATTTTAAAAAAAATTCTACATTAATTTTTTTTTTTCTCTGATTATTTTTTTTTATGTTTAATTTATATGATTATTATTATTATTATTATTATTATTATTATTATTATTAATTATTATTATAATATTTTATGTATATATATGAAAAAAAAAAATTATATTATTATTAATAATATATTTATATTTTTTTTTATGGTGATAATTCTATTAAACATTTAATAAAATCTTTTTCGTATTGTGAATTTAATAACATATTTGAATCGGTAGTTGGACAACGTAAAAGACCTGGAGCAAATACCATGGCTACATTATCGATATCCATTTTAGAGTATGCGGCATATTGTGGTTGAGAAACATTCTTTAGGAAAGCTAATAAATAATTTAAAACCTCTCTATTGATCTCTGGTAAAGATGAAGAGATTCTAACCACTTCTTCTTTTGAACGACTTTTAATACAATCGTAATAGAGTTCAGTTGGAATAACAGGTTGGGCCAATTCTCTTAACCATAACTTTAATAAACCAGCTAAAACATGTGGATCAGTAGTATCGAATTGAAAATCGTGTTCGTTAATTTGTTTCTTTAATCTGTTTACTTCAGTACCGCTGCCAGTGACACGGAAAATACCTTCGGTGTAAGGACCATTTAAGTTGATAACACCCTCGGCTAAAAGTTTTAAAATTAAAGGATATGATAAATTTTCGTTTGGGAAACGCTCTCTTTGAAGTGCCATAATTTGTTGGAGTGTATTACCAAAAATATTTGTATTGATTGGTAATGAATCGGATGATTTGTTTTTCGATGATTTCTTTTCAAGCTCTTCTTTTTTCTTTTTCTCTTTCTTTTCAAGTTTTTCTTGTTCCTCTTTCTTTTTCTTATCTTTCTTTTCTTGTTCATCTTTTTCTTTCTTTTCTTTTTTCTCTTTCTTTTCGCTTTCTTCTTTTTCTTTCTTTTGACGTTCACGCTCTCTTCTTTCTTTTTCATCATTGTCACGCTTTTCTTTTAACTCTGCTGATTTGGTTTGATTGCCTAAAACCTTCTCATCAAAATATGGTGATGATACTGGTGGCGATAAACCATGTTGTAATCTATTGGTTAACATTGAATTTAAATCTGTTGATAATCTTTTATTTGCCTCTAAACTATTTCTCTTTAGTGGTGAATTATTACTTAAAAATGGTTGTAAAGTAGGTGAATTGGCCATTGGTGATTTAATAAATTGGGACATTTGCTTTGGATCCAATGATGCTGATCTAGTTTGAATGGGTGGTGGTGGTTTAAATTGTGATAATGGTATACCTTGTAAACCTGGTGATAAATTTAATGGTGGTGGTGGTGGCATACCTCCGCTGCCTCCCAAACTACCTGCGCTATTATTTAAACTATTACTATTACTATTATTACTACTATTTACAAAAGATGGTGGTGGTGGCATTCCCCCGCTTGAACTAAACATTCTATTTGCAGTTGGTGGTGTTTGAGTTAATGGTGGTGGTGGCATTGCATTTGATGGTAAATGAACAATTGGTGGTGGGTAATTTTGTATTGGTGGTGGTGGTATACCTCCACTACCTCCAAGGGCTGGTGGTGGTGGTAAATGTACAATTGGTGGTGGTAATGGATTATTATTTAATGAGTTTACAGAGTTAATTGGGGGTGAAGTTGGTACAGTTCTTTTTGGTAAAATTGGTGATGATGAGGGTGATAATTTTTTAATGCCACCAACGACTGATGGTGGGGGTGGTTGAGATAAAACTTGTGGTGGGTGGGGGGCTGATGGAGACATATATGATTGTGGTGGTGGTGGTACAACTTTTCTTGCAACATTTGGTGAGGAGGAAGGTGATTGTTTAAAATTATTTCCTTGTGAGGATAAACCTGGTGATGGTGGTAATTCTCTTGGTGATGAGTTTACTGGTGATGTATTTTGTTGTTGCTGTTGTTGAAGCTGTGTTGGTTGTGGTGGAGGTCTAACAGGTTTTAACTGAACATTATGTTGTGATGGTAATTGAAAACCTCCACTACTAGTATTGCTGCCATTACTATTGTTACTTAAATAACTTACTGGTGGTGGTGGTTTGAAACTCATTATTTTTTAAAGATTTATTATATTTTGAAAGTGTGGGTTTTTTTTTTTTTTTTTAAAAATTATTTTTTATGTTACAACAAAAAAAATATTATATTATAAAAACTATTTGATTGTTTTGATGGTACTACTATAATACTTGTACTTTTTAGATTGCTAATATTATATTATTATTACAAATTTATATAAATTATTTATAATGGTGAATGATAATTATATAAAAACAACAATGTAAATTTTATATTCTTCTATTTTTATTTATTAATAAAGCAAATGTAAATGGATTTTATAAAATTTAAAAATAACAAATAATGATAAAAATATTTTTTATAAATAAAAAAAAAAAAAAAAATTGTTAATAAAATTATTATTTTTAATGTGTATTGGTTGTGGGGGTGTTTATTATATGTGGTGGTGTGTTTAAAATTTGTGTTTTTGAGTTTTTTAATATGTGTGAAAATTAATGTTTTTATGTGTGTGGGAATAAATTAGAGAAATAGTGGTATGTGTTAACTATTATTATCATTATTATTAATAAGTAAACACTTTTTTCTTTTTCTCTTTTTTAAATTTTATTTATTTTTATTTCAATTACATATTAATTAAATAAAAAAAAAACAACTTTAAAAATTTAAATTTTATTTACCTTTATATAGAAAATTTATTTATAGATTTGGATTTATAATTATATCATATATGATACAACACAAAATTTTTACTTTTTTTATACTATGACAGAATTTGTATTTATATATAGTTATGTTTATTTATATAATTATAAAACAAAACAAAAAAAATACTATTTACTTTTTTATTTTTTAATGTGTATAATTATAAATACAATAACAATTTATTAAATAGAAAAAAAAACACAATAATAATATTATATGAATATTATTTATTTTTTTTTATATCAAAATTTTTAAAAATAATTATACAAAAAAAGAATAAAAAACACAATAAGGGGCGTTTTTTGTCGAAAAACAAAAAAATAATTTATGTTGTGAGGTGTTGTCTCCCATATAATCTTGCTTCGCGATCGCCAGATGCTGCTTTTTTCTTCCGCTTTTTCTGTGCATCAAAAAAAAAAAAAATTAAAATTTTTTTAAATAATTTTTTTTAAAAAAAATAATTCAAAATTGTTATTCGTTTAATTATATAAAATTACCAGCAATAACGCATCACATGCAAAATGACACAAATTGATATAATTATTAATCAAAATTATAAAGATAAAAAAAAAAACTATAATCATTAAACAAAAAAAAATCTTTTTTTTTTTTTTTTTTTTTCCAATCAGCATTAAATATTTTGAAAGATATGTTTTTTAGAAACTAAAGAAACATTATTATTTTTTATTTTTATTTTTATTATAATTTTTATTTTTATTTAACAATGAAAATAACCTAATAATACTAAAACATAAAATTGCGGTACATTATTATTGTTATTCTATTTTAATTGATAATAATATTTTTGCTACAGTTTGTGATAAAATATTATTACCATATAGATTATTCATATTATATTATTTTTTTGAAATTTAATCTTCTAATTTAATTAAACCACTTTTTTAAACTTATTTTAGATTAATTAAAAAAAAAAAAGATATTTATCTTTTTTTTTATTTTTTATTTTTTTATTTTTTATTTTTGTTTTTTTTTTTAAATTTTTTATTTTTTTATTTTATTTTTTCATTCATTTGTCCATTTAATAATTATCATTTAAATAGTAATAACAATTAAAATAAATAATGAATCGGTTTACTTCATTATTAAATAAAAAAATATATGATGTAACAATTGTAGGTAGTGGAATTGTGGGAATTGCAACAGCCAGAGAAATTTTAAAGAGGAATCCAACATTAAAACTATTGATATTAGAAAAAGAGGATAGCATAGCAAGACATCAAAGTAGTCATAATTCAGGTGTTATTCACTGTGGTGTATATTACAAACCAGGATCAACCAAGGCACGATTATGTGTAAAGGGTTCAAAGATGATGTATGACTATTGTAAAGAAAATGATATAAAGCACGAAAATTGTGGAAAGATCATTGTTGCAGTAAAAAAGTCTGAGTTTGATTCATTAGAGGCATTGTATAAAAGAGGTATTGAAAACGGTGTTCCAAATATCGAAATGGTAGATAGAGACAGATTATTAAATTTAGAACCTAGTATTACAGGTGGATTAAAAGCAATTTATACACCAACAACAGGTATTGTAAATTATTTAGATGTAGCGAAATCTATGGCAAAAGAAATTCAAGATAAATACCAAGCTGAGGTTCAACTGGGTTTTGAGGCATCTATTTTTGACTATGACACAAAGGATAAGCTGATGTATATAGGCGATAAAAACAACGAAAGATCAATTCTAACTCGACACGTAATTACATGTGCTGGAATGTATAGTGATAGGGTAGCTCATAATGCATTTGGTCAGAAAGAGCCTTCTATCGTTCCATTTCGTGGTAGTTTCCTTCAATTTAAACCAGAATATAAACATTTAATTAAAGGTAATGTATATCCTATTCCTAACCCTTCTTTTCCTTTTCTTGGTGTTCATTTTACAAAGAAAATAGATGGAAATGTTTGGTTAGGACCTAATGCAGTTCTAGCATTCTCAAGAGAGGGTTATAGTTATAAAGATTTTAGAGCTAAAGATTTTCAAGAAATTTTAACAAATCCAGGTTTATTTGCACTCTCTTTAAAGCATTGGAAGTATGGAGTTAACGAATTGCTCCGTGATATCTATCCATCAAATTTTATAGAATTATTACAACCATACATGCCTGATATCTCTATGGATATGTTGGAGGTTACCGATGGTGCAAGTGGTGTTCGTAGTCAAGCAATTTCACCTAATGGAGATTTAATTGAAGATTTTATATTTGACACACCAAAAGATAAACCAATATTGCATGTTAGAAATTCACCATCCCCCGCTGCTACATCCTCATTAGCAATTGCAGAAGAAATTGCAAATATGGCACAAAATCAATTTAAAGAATTAAATAATACTAAAAAATATTATTAATAAAATATAAATATAAATTATAAAAAAAAAAAAAATTTTATTAAAGCTAGATTATTCAATACATTTTATATAATATTTTGGGAGGTTGGTGGCGTTGTTTCGATTTTTTTCTTATTTTTCTTATTTTTCTTCTTATTCAGATTTGTTGTTGTAGTTGTATTTGGGTCTTTATTATTATTGTTATTGTTATTGTTATTGTTATTATTATTGTTATTATTATTATTATTATTATTATTATTATTATTATTATTATTATTATTATTATTATTATTATTATTATTATTATTTTTATTATTGTTTTTATTACTATCACTGTTATCTATGTCCATTTTATTTATAGAGTTTTTTGTTTTTTTAGGTTTTTTATTTTTCTTCTTTTTACTTGTGGTATTGGATGTAGGAGTGGGATTTACTGGATCCATAGAGTCATCGATTTTATTTAAATTTGTGTTTGGTGTGATTGTGTCGCTTTGATTATTTATTGTTGTGGCTCCTGTATTTGTATTATTTAGAGATTTAAATAAGATTTTTCTTTGTTTTTTCTGAACTCTTTTCATTTTCACTCTTTCTAATTGTTCTGCAGTTTTAGTTTTCTTTGTCTTTTTAATAGTGGTAGTATTGGGGTTTGTGTTATTGGTGGTAATTACATTGGTATCTGATTTTTTTGTGACCATTTTTATTTGTTCTAACTTTGTATTTTTTTTATTTCTTTTTAATTTTCTTTCTTTTACAGTTGAGTGGTGTGAGAGTTGTCTCTGGTGGTGTTGTTGTTGTTGTTGTCTTGAAATTCCTGTCTTCCTTAGTATATTAATAAATGTAATAAATGTTGAGAGTTAGAATATAAAATATAAACTTTAATATAATATTTTTATATATATGACCTACAAGTCTATAGGTGAAAATGCACCATTTCCACCATTTTGGAAATCTGTTAATAATGCCCTAAAGAATGGTTTTATAAAGAAAAACATTGAACAGAAAAATTTGGCAAATTCACCAACGGTTCCATCTGGACGGTTAAACAATGTGTTGGATATTTTACATGGCTCCATTTCTTTTTGTTCAATCCATTCTAAAAATAACTGATCGGTGTGATCAAAAAGTGACTTGTCAATATTTGCAAATTTGGATGGAATGCTTTCATCGTAATCAATTTTTGCGAAAAATAAAACATATTTTGAATTTGGTACCCAAAGTTTGTGTGTGTTTTCAGATTCGAAAAGTTGACGGAAATCATCTATTCTATCGTTGAATATGAAACCAGTCTCTTCATTAAATTCTCTAGTTGCTGTATCGATTACTTTTTCTCCTTTTTCAACCTTGCCGCCAAATGGTAAAAATGCATAAAAGCCATTTGAATTCTGCATAGTACTTTTTCCTTTTTTTGTTCTATCTTCACATCCCATTAATAATTTAATTTTTCCTTCATGATACGCATACAATAATACTCCTGCAGCCTTAAATTCTTTATCGACTTCTGGTGGTATTACTGTTAAAAATTGAGATATTTTTTTTGGTTTATTATCCATTTTAATATTATTATTGTTATTATTACTCATATTATTCATATTATTATTTGATTCATTATTGTTATTATTATTATTATAATGATGATTGGGGTTATTATTGGAATTATCAATATTATCGGGGTTTGTATAAAAAGGAGAGTTTTTAATACCAAAATTATTATTACTGTAATTGTTGTTGGATATATTATTATTAAAATTTTGATTATTGTTAAATTGGTTTAAATTATTGTTCCCCTGATATAAATTATTATTCATATTATTATTTATATTATTATTATTATTGTTATTATCATAGTTATTCATATTATTAAGATTGATATTAAAACTACTATGATTAAAGACATTATTTATAAAGTTATCATTGTTGTTATTAAAGCTATTGTTATTATTATTATTAAAGTTAAGGTTATTAAAATCGAACTTGTTTGAATTAAAATTATTTATATTATTATTTGTATTCATATTATTCATATTATTCATATTATTCATATTATTCATATTATTATTATTATTATT